TGTGATGGATGATAAAAATGATGGATTGTGAAGGATCATTACCCTAGTGTCATGGGGTTAGGTGACACTAAGTCTACACCACGTAGCAATGGTCTTGCTTGGTTTATCCACGTTAGGGGACCATACTATTTGTGGATCGCACTTGGTTAATCCGCGTTGGGCGATCCTTATAGCCTCAGAAAAGGGACTTACCATACACCTCTGAAATGTGGCAGGGGCGTTGCACAGTCCAAACGGCATCCTCCGGTATGCAAATGTGCCAAATGGACATGTGAAAGTCGTCTTTTCTTGATCCTCCGGAGCAACTGCAATTTGATTATACCCAAAATAGCCATCAAGAAAACAATAATGGGAATGACCAGCTAACCTTTCTAACATTTGATCAATGAATGGGACTAGAAAGTGATCCTTGCGTGTGGTGCTATTTATCTTTCGATAGTCTGTACAGACTCTCCAACTATTTTGCACACGTGTAGGCATTAGCTCATTAGCTTCATTCTTAACAACTGTGACTCCAGATCATTTAGGGACTACTTGAATAGGGCTTACCCACTTGCTATCTGAAATAGGATATATGATGCCAACATCAAGAAGTTTGATAACCTCTTTTTTTACGACTTCCATCATGAGTGGGTTTAAACGGCGTTGAGCTTCCCTACTTGGTTTTGCACCTTCTTCCAGCAGAATCCTATGCATACATGTAGCTGGATTTATACCTTTGATATCTGCAATGCTCCAAGCTATGGCAGTTTTGTGATCCTTCAGTACCCGAATCAGTTTCTCCCCCTCTTCTGCTGTGAGTTGTGACGATATGATGACTGGTAATGTTTCATCCTCTCCCAAAAATGCATACTTCAAATGTTTAGGGATCGGTTTAAGCTCCAATTTAGGTGCCTGAATCACAGAAGGAAGGGTTTTTTCGTTAGAAGTAGGAAGAGAAATAAAATAGGAAGAACACTTACCACGAATTGGTGAAAAAGACTCAAGAGAGGCCACTGTTTGGATTAATTCTTCTTCAATGTGCTCTGAATAGTTAAAATTTCCATGTGTAATGCTATGCACTAATGCCTTCTCTAAATTATCTTGTCTCACACCTTCATTAAAACAATCCTGCACAAAATAGTCAAACACATCAATAGACAAACAAGATTCTAATTCACTAGGATACCTCATAGCTTTGAAGATTCTGAACTTGACATTTTCCCCATCAATTTCCATGGTTAAGGTACCATCGTAGACATCAATCTTCGTCCGTGCTGTTCTAAGGAATGGTCTTCCCAATATAAGAGGAAGTGCAGTAGGCATAGGATCATGTTCCATCTCAAGAACAAAAAAGTCAGCGGGAAAAATGAGCTCATTCACTTGCACAAGTACATCCTCCAATAGGCCTTTGGGATATCTATTTGAACGATCTGCCAACTGGATTACTACCTTTGTTTCCTTCAAGTCTCCAAGGTTCAATGACTCATACACTGAATATGGCATCAGATTGATGGATGCCCCCAAATCACACAATGCTCTCCCAAACTCTTTGCCTCCAATTACACATGGAATGGTAAAGCTACCGGCATCTTTCAACTTCGGTGGCATCTTTCTCTGCAAAACAGCTGATACTTCCTCGCTTAATGCCACAGTTTCTTGATCATTGAATCTCCTCTTGTTCGTACAAAGCTCTTTAAGGAACTTTGCATACTTGGGCACTTGTTTTATGGAATCTAAAAGAGGTAAGTTCACTTGGACTTTCCGGAAAGTATCCAAGATTTCCTTATCAGTTTGCTCTTTCTTAGACTTCATAAACCTACGAGAAAAAGGAATAGGGACACATGAGTTAAATGAATTTTGAACTTCTTTACTTACCTTATCAGAATCTTTTTTGTTCAATTCTGTATCTTTAGGAGACTTTTTAGTTTCTGTTGAAGCCTCATCTTGCTCAAGATTCTTGGTTGTGATTCTAATCTATGTGTTATGGTATTGCTTTGAAATCTTTTGTGCTAATAAACTTTGTGGTTACACTATGGATTCTTAAAATAGTTCTGATGTTAAATAATTGTTGCTAGTACGTTCTCGTCGATCTACTTATGAAGCATTAGGTGACTGGGATATTTGAACTGTGATGGATTGTGTTTTGAGATATATATGTGATGGTTGATAAAAATGATGGATTGTGTTTTGGGATATATATGTGATGGATGATAAAAATGATGGATTGTGAAGGACCATTACCCTAGTGTCATGGGGTTAGGTGACACTAAGTATACACCACGTAGCAATGGTCTTGCTTGGTTTATCCACGTTAGGGGACCATACTATTTGTGGATCGCACTTGGTTAATCCGCGTTGGGCGATCCTTATAGCCTAGGTATGGCCATACACATTTAAAGGTGATCATGCTTGGTTAATCCGCATTGGATGATCACCTTCCAATAGTTATAGGAGTGACTCTGCTTGGTTAATCCGCATTGGGGGTCACTACCTACTTGGTTATTTTCTTAGGGGTGACTCTGCTTGGTTAATCCGCATTGGGGGGTCATTATCTATTTGGTTATTTTCTTAGGGAGGTCACTACCTATTTGGTTATTTTCTTAGGGGTGACTCTGCTTGGTTAATCCGCATTGGGGGGTCACTACCTATTTGGTTATTTTCTTAAGGGTGACTCTGCTTGGTTAATTTGCATTTGGGGGTCACTACCTATTTGGTTACTTTCTTAGGGGTGGCTTTGCTTGGTTGATCCGTTTTGGGGGGCCACTTCCTAATTGGTCATTTGCGTAGGCTTCTGCCGAACGACGTCTCTCTAAATCTAGTTTTGAATATATCTGTGAATGTGGCTTTGAGAACTCTGAGTTTTGATTTAGAAAACTCGTTGGATGTATGTGTGACTCCTTCGGAGGTTGCAAGGTTTGGTAGCGATTTCTTATAAATGATTTATATTCAAAGTTTATAATTGTGAATGATGGTTGGTTTTATTATTAGTATCATATACTTGTATTATTTATCGCTCACACAAGCTTTGTAGCTTATCCGGGTTGTTGTTTGTCTGGTGCACCATTTCGATGGTGTAGGCACTAATCTTACAGGTAACAAGTCTGAGTAGCTTCGAGAGGTTCGTAGGTGGGGTAGCAGTACCGTTATCAGAGATTTGGAGTGCTAGGTTACCCCTATATCCTATCTTGTACTTTATCTTTGGGGCTTTCTTTTGAGCACCTCGATCTTGTTCTTAGTAAAGCAAAGATTATGCTTCTTTTTGGGATGTACATATTTGTAAATATTTAGTGGAGAATTTAGCCACCTTCATATTATTTTGGTTTATCAGTTAAAGTATTTTATTCCTTAACTTATACCGTATTCAACGGACGTTATTTTCCTTGTCACGTGTCGATTCTCGACGTATGTTGGGATCAGGGCGTGACACCTCAACCATTAGAAGCCTTACTATCACCCTAGGTAACACACCCCGACCTAAATCAAGGCGTGACGGCCAGCACGCCTTGATTTAGGTCAGGGTGTGTCACACCTTGATTTAGGTCGGGGTGTGTCATGCCTTGATTTAGGTCAGGGTTTGTCACTAGGAAAGCCCAAATCATGTAGCTAAGAATGCCATGCAACCATGCAAACCTTATCTCTCATGTAAATTGATAATCTTCTAACTTCCACACCACGCTTCACTTGAGCAAGTCATTATCTTGATCTTTCATGCTATCTTCGAGCCGTTGATGTTACCGAAGTATTTCTTAAGACAAGCTATCTCTTTCAAGATATTCCGGGACTTGTTGCGAACCCGCACCAAGAGAGACAAGAAGACGTTCTCAAAGCGTAAGTCCACCTCGACCTAAAAGTCCCCCAACACCTGTACATCCAAAAAACCTTTCTCCATAAAAGCTACAAGGGCCGCCCTAACTACATCCACTTCTGCCATCAAATTAGATGTGCAAGGATAATTTCCAATCCCACTAGCAGCACGGAAAATTCTGGCAAAGTTCCTTGCCACCCACCCAAAACCACATTTTTCCTTCCTCCATGCACCATCACAATTTATCTTAACAATACGGAAAGGAAGGCGCTCCCACGAGGACTCCGCAACAGCCATGGGAGTGGTCATAGGCCGCCGCTGCTCATCGACACTTGCCTCTACCCATTCCTCCATCTCCCCATACTCTCATCGTTATTGACGCAGCAACTCCACAGCCTCAATCAGATGTATTTATTTTATTTTATTTTTTTCTTAAACACCATGGTATTCCTACATTTTCAAAGCCTCCAAGTTGGCCCAAACACTAGCCACCTACTAATCTCATCAGAGTCCAAGCTTCCAAATAGATTCCCACGACTTCACTACCTCTCTGCCCCCACTAGCCTCCCCCATACCTTTTCGTCCAAGTTCCCCATTTTTACCTAGTTCTTGTGCAACCTTATATCCCGATTGGACCGAAAGAATCATTCTTCGAGTAATGCCATATTAATTTATCTTCGCATCCAAATATGCTTAACGGCATGCTCCAAATCTGAGAAGCTTCATCCTAGCCAAAGTAACGTTCAACCACACTCCTTCTCCACGCACCGGTATTAGTATCAATTAAATCCACTACCTTTCCGGGCATCTCGTCATGACAAGACATGGGCTTAAACGTCCATGGAGTTGGCAGCCCCGGGTTTTGTTTAATGATATAACAAATTAATCAGATATGTGTTTTTTTTTTATTACTCTACGCTACGCCAAGTTTACTTGTACAATAGGCATCCTATCAATGTCTTAATATAATCTGATTAGCCTGCCCGATGAACAATAACACCGTAATTAGCAAGTGAGATCCTCAAATCACATCCGTTCATCGTACATCATGCGGTTAGTTTTTGTCAGGTACTGTATTCAATTTTAAATAAAAAAATTTACAGTGATTTCTGACTGCAGGATCCTCACAAAGAGGATCCGGCTAGGATCCTCACAAAGAGGATCCGGCTAGGATCCTCTCTCGTAATTAACCTCCCTTTCTTTGGACTCCAAATCCAACTCCAACTATGCTTCCAATTATTGTTAACTATATACATTTATAGATATACGTACATGTACACAAGAGCAAGAGCAAGAGCGCCTAATTAGGTATATAGTTAGTTAACATGGCGATCGCTGAGGCGGAGCCGGAGGGTCTATTGAAGCAGAAGCAGCAGCGGCAGCCAGTCCCCGTCCCCTTGGACGACATGATTGTGGAGATAGTACTACGGCTTCCCGTCAAAGCTTTACTGAGGTTCCGGAGCGTATCTAAGTCCTGGCGTGATTTTGTGAGGAAGCACCTCTGCCTAGCAGTGAATACAGACGTTGACGCCGCCAACAGCGCCTTCAGGTTCCTTCTCTTAAGACGCCCATGTTATTCTCCGGAGTTGAATCCCTCCTCATGTCAAATCATAGACTACCAAGCATCCTTCCCAGGTTTCACTGACAAAGGCTAGTCTTTTCATTGTTTCAGACTGCTGATACGCGTAAGAAATGCATCAAGAGAGACTAGCATTGCTTAGTCAACCTAAAGAGGTTTAAGCGATAGAACTCCATGATCGGCTTCAAACGTATTGAGTTTCATAAACCCATAAACAGAGCTATTATTGGAACACCAAAATAATCATCTCGTGCTCCTCCCTAAAAAAAGAATAAGGGAAGGAGTGCAAGATGACTATTTCGGAGTGCTTAACTGAAAATGAAGTTCGCAAGAAGAGTTAAACTCGTGTTGGAACTATTGGAGGTACATTATCACAAGTAATAAAACAAGGTCTTCTGCACATCTACTGAAACAAAGGCTTTCTCAGTACTATAGAAGCGCTGCTCCTCTAAAGGCTGCAACCCAAGTATCCTTATATGGAACCTTCCTCCAAAGTTTCTCACTTACTTCAAGGATGATAATAAAAAGAGATGAATTCAGTGTATGAATGCTTACAACCCTTATGGAGTATCCACCAGACAATCAAACTCTCCACGCTGTTAATCTTTTGTACCTGAAAGCAAAGGAACGCAGATGCATTATTTTGTTTTTCTTCCTAGAGTGAACAAATGAAACAGAAAGAGGAACAAGCAAATCAAAATCAGGTCTAACGAGACATTTGCTGGGCCTACATAAGATACCAAAGACATCAGTGATTGAATGAGAACTACATCACAAAGGACAGCTAAATGCAAACGCCATCACTCTGATTTCGAGACTTTGTGATTGAAGTGCAGGTGGGAAAATAAGGGGTGTAGAAATCGGAAAAGGGGTGGGCAATTATGGCACTCTTAGCAGCCTTGCTATTAATCCATGGACATGCTTCGGAAAAATCTTTAAAACTTCTCAAGCATTCAGAATTATCTAAGCTGCAGTATCATGGAGGGAACCTAAAGGAAAGAATGAGGCAAGAACAATTTGTTATCGACAACGTTTGTGTATCGGGCATATCTCAGTTTTCTTTGTACGAGAAAAAGCTGATAATGTTTTATCTTAGCTATCTAAATTCTTACAAGTAAGATGGTTGAAAATGTCTCGAGAGACTATCATTTCCACCCTCTCATGTGACTTATGTAATTCTGTTCCACAATCAAATATGGTTGTCGTTTAGAAATCATCAGGAATTAGCCAAAGAGAGGACAGATATTAAGTCCACTCACTCCTATAAAATGTGGTTCAATTAATACCTAACACACACATTTTCAAATAAAATGACAGTCTGCAAGCAGATCAAACATCCATAACAGGCCATTCTGGTTTATGAGAAAATGGCGTTGCCTGCTGGCCAGCTAACGAGTAAAATGACTAGGCATCAAGCAGCCAATCATCAATTTAACAATTTTCGGGTTTGTTTGTTTGAAGAACTTAAATCAGTGTGGTTAAATAAAACTTCAGGCTACTGCATGACCGCAAGCTGGATTATTAGAACCCAAGAATTCATGCTCCAATTTGCAAATGTACTTACTGAGACACTTAGAGAATTTGTACTGACTAAGGTACGATGACAGAGAGAATTTGTTCCTTTTAGAATTTGACAAAACCAATCCTTTGGAGAATATATGGTCGCGTATGGTATAGATGATTGATTGGAATGGATAAGATATTATTTTCAAGGCATGTTGAAGGAAGACCAAGTTGGAGGTAGGAGATGGATTGCTCGAGATGAAAACTCATCCATCCCAATCCTCCCCAAAATGGTAGGATCAAGGGAGAAGTTTCATTCATGTCAAATACCCTTCTAAATTTCTATCCCCTAAAATTGGAAAATCATTTTCCTCTAACTTTAATATGCCTTGAATTAGAGGCTTGTCCATTCCAATCCAACCCTTGATACCAAACAACGCCTATAGGTATTGGAGGTTTAACAAAAGAACTACTGCAATGAAGGCATTAATTAAACCAATAACAGAGAGTTACATGTTAACCGTTAACTACAATGCAAGTTGTGTGTGTGGGCATATATACCTTTGGGAAAGTGGAAGAAGCGTCCGCGAAATGCTTCGACACCTTGGGAAAGAGACCTAGTACCAACGCTTAGGCGGCTCTTCAAGTCAGATAAATCAACCCCCTTCTCCAACACCAAGAGATGCTGGTCCTTAAAGCTAGAGAATCTTCCACCGGCTTCCCTTTGCAGGTTTGTGATGCAAGGTGCAATGCTGTTCCAGCCCTCCCCTGCAATGCTTTTGGAGAAAGGAAAGCCACTAGATTGGCCAATCTCCAGTGCACTACTTCTTGCCGCCATAACAGCTGAAAAAATAAATAAAAAGCTATATCAGTACTGAATCCCGCTCCTCGTAGTTTAGATTAGATTAAATTAGAATATCGCTCGAATCATAAAACTGCACTCAAAAGAAAAAGTAGAGATTGAAAATAAAAGGAGATACCAACCACTATACGGAAGGTGAAAGAGCCAATTGGCAGGGAGACCGATTCCGGCACCCAGCAGAGTGAAACCGACGGAGAAGCCAAGACCGCAGCCAGCTCCAACATAACCAATTACTTCAGGCCCGAAACCAGGACCCCATCCAACCCCACAACCAATGCCTACTCCCAATCCCCAAAATGCTCCACTCGTTGGATGCACTGGGTTCCATCTTTCGTACCTCCTGAACACTCCTTTTATGATCATTACCACCCAATTTTCTGGGTATTTTTCTGAATTTCTGGGTATTTATGGGTCTCTCTCTCTCATCTGCCAGAGAGACTGAGCTCTGAGACTCAGATAGATATGGAGGCTCTCTCCAAAATAGGACTTGGATTGTCTGCCCTCCCATTTCAGTGCTCTCCTCCTCGTGCCCTCATGTTTGTGTGGTCACAGTTAAGCCACGTAAACATTTTATATTACTATTTCTTTTTATTTTATTATTTTTATAAAAAAATAATATAAAATATTGACGTGGTTTAACCGTGACCATACAAAACAGGAAGGCACAGAAAGAACACCAAAATGGGAGGGCAGACAATCCAAGTCCCTCGAAATAAGCTACATGTTCTTGTAGTTAACTGCAAATATGGACTTATATTTGTCAATTTTTAAAATAAAAAGTTTTCAATTAATTTTCGATGATCTAACTTTATCTGTAGCTAAATTCGTTTAGTTGAATATCAGAGTGCGCAACAAACAAAATTAATAGAATAATAGGAATATTATTAAACTAACGAGAATGCCAAAACGACTACAAAACTCCAAGAGACTACATTATGAATGACTTATTTCTCAAACTTAATTACAAGCAATATTTATAGAGAACTAAATCTAAAAAACTCTAACTCGGATGAACTAAGCTCAATTCCTAAACTAACAAGGAAAATCTAAATACTAAAATAAACATAAATACTAATATTTTCCAATAAATTCTTCATATCATACCAGGTAGAGGTGTTTTTAAATTTTTTTTTTCTTTTTTTGGTCAAAGACTAGTTTTAGTTTTTTTTTTTTTTTTCAAAAAATAGAAATATTAGATTAGATATTAGATTAAAGAGCATGCAGGATTTGAATCCAAGTCATGGGGCAATAATAACATTTTTCTTCACTATTGTGGCAGAGGACCCTGCGTAAAGCGGGAACTTTGTGCACTGGGTACGACATTTATTGTGGCAGAGGACCACATCCAAAGACCAGCTTTAGTTGACTTTTACATTTTCCTATGTACTAGAGTCAAATAAGAATTTGATAGTATTTTAATAAATTTAAAGTTTAGCTGTAGTTAATTAAGGTTTTAAAGAAGGGTTTTAAAAGATTTAGAAATCATATTCTAGTTTAGCTAATTTAACAAAATTTATTATTTGACCAAAAAAACAAATCATATTCTAGTCAAATTAGGATTTTCAAATCTTTCTACACCTAGAATCTTGATTGGCGTATCTATGACCTATTTCATATTGGATTTTAACAAAGAGTAATGATAGAAAGACAAAATTTGCAAACTAAATTATATGTCACCAATAAAAAATGAGCTTGCACGGACAACGTCTCCCCAATAAATAAAAAAATGTGAGAGGTTCCAAGTTCCAGGTTCGATGCTTCGAATTAATGAGTCTGTTTGATTGTGGTCATAGACAGGATAAAATTCTAGATGATTTCTCTGAGCTCGAAAATGGTGAATAATCGTAACTTGCTAATCGTTGTCCTCCTTTTTGCACAAAATCGTTTATCAGAACACCTTCGTCAAAAAGGAAAGAGAAAAAACAATACAAAAACTTTCTTCTTAATTAATGCTGGCTGAAAATAGGAAAGAATGGAGATTCGGCATCTCTAATTAGATTTTTTGTGGTGATTCTGATCAATTAACAATGTATCAGTAAAGAAAGTAAAACAAAAAAATCATTTGTACGATTTTGTTACCTCTTTTTGATAAGATGAAAGCGCTGTCTCTTCTCTTATATAAAGAACCATAATCCTCCTTTTTATCTGCATTCGATCTAACCTAATCTAAAGAACCCTAAACCTCCCTTTTTCCTGAATCGGTTCTAAGTTCTAACCCTAAATAGTGAGAAGAGACGCCATCAAGATTTCAAGACTAATTAAGGTATTATTCATCCTTAAATGTAGTTATTAGTTCAGTTGATACATAGTGTCTTAGTATTGTAATTTTTTTCCTAAACTTGATTAAGGGATAATAAGAAGGAAGACTAATCGGTTATGAGATTGGTACTAAACTTGATTAACGGCTTACTGTTCATATTGACTTTATATGTGTCAACCTAAACTTGTTTACTGTTCTTACTTTGATCTTATCTTTGTTCTTTACTCTATTGTATGAAAATAAATCTTATTTTCTCGGATTAACTCTTTATCCCAACAGGTTTGAAAAATTACACTATTATGGGTAGACGCAAATCAAAGTTACCTTTAGAGCTAATACCAAACGAAAGTTCGCGCAAGGTTACTTTTCGAAAGAGAAGAAATGGATTGTTGAAGAAGGCAGGAGATTTGAAGACACTTTGTGATGTGAAGGTGTGTACTATCGTTTACGAGAAGAAATCCAAGGGAAAACTGAGCACAGCAGCAACTTTTCCTAAGGAATTTAAAGATGTCAAGGAAATAATTGATAAGTACAAATCGAATTCATCGAAAGTAAAGAGAGTTCAAAGTTTGGGTGACTTCTATGCCACGCAAACGGTTCAAGTGAAGAAAGAGATTGGGAAACTGCGTAGTAAGATTTGTGAAGAGAAGTATCCTGCATGGGATGATCGTTTCAATGCGTTTTCAGCAGAGCAAATGCTTGACCTTTTGAGAAATTTGGAGAACAAAATTGTAGCTGCTCATGAGATGCATAGCACGATGAAGGAATCAAAGCAAATTGTTGTGCAAGAGACTATACCACCAATGGTGAGTGCCTCTAATTGCCATATGTCTAACTATTTTCTTTAGGTAATTTTCGACGAATTTATATATATATATATATATATATATATATATATTGATTAGGGCATCATCTGGTGTTTAGGATTCAATGAATTTAATTCATGTATTTATAAAATTTAATGTATGCATTGTCGTTAATTTTTGAATTTTGTATGAGTTCAAGGCATAAGATGGATTAGCCACAAAGGAAATTATCATCCTACCAATTGTGTGTACATTGGAAGGGTTTCATGACTAATCCACCTTCGACCTCCAACTTATACAAATTTTGAAAGTTGACATCTATTTATCCGTGAAATGTCATACGTTTAAATCTATTGTTATCAAATCCAAACCCATCTAATCCTTGGCACCAATGCCTAAGAGTTACTAATCAAAGCTAGCTCTACCTTCCTCAATAATGTGTAGGCCATGTTTCAAAGCAACCAAGAGTATTCCCAGATGCTTGGATTATCTGATCAAAAACCAAGTTATTGTTCGATGATGATGAATGATGATTGGACTCAATTTGCAAGCACATCACAGACCAACAACATTCAGTACACTCCTCCAGTTATTGCTTCGAACTCCATCCGCAAAATATCTACGTGGGAGCATGATCAGATCTTTAACGATAATTACATTTCTGCGGCATATGGAAATACGGACGAGAATGCAACTTTCTATAATCCCATGCAGCAGCAACCATGCATGTATGACTCAATATTTTCAAGTGCTGCATTTCAACAACAGCAACAACAAGCAGTTGTTCCAAGTTTTGAAAACCCTAAGCCTATCGACGCGCTTCCTCTGAGAACCGTTTTGTATGAGTACGATCATCCCCTCTCTGTGACAATGCAGCCGAGTTATCTGGAGTGTCCAAATTCAGCAACTTCTGCTTCATCATCCGAATACGATCAGAAGTTTGCTGCATCTCACCCACAGAACATGTTCTATGATGACGTATTCTATGATAACTTGTGGCATTTCGAATAAAACAACATTTGGAGGGCTCAGGATACTTGATCGATTTATGTTTAGGGTTGTAAAGTTGATTCATGTTTATACGCTACTTGGAATCTGATTTCCTGAACGTGTGGCTTTCTTATTCCTTTGGTGAATTGACTCTTTTATATGTAAGTGGTTTCGTGGACACTAAATAAATGCTTTGGTTTTCAAAAAAGATAATGTAGATTTTCTGGTTTAAAGTTTCAATGTATATTTCATGTATATTTGTACAAGAGTGAGTCCAGGTATATATGAGAATAGAGAGGGAAAAAGATGGGAATGATGGCTGTAGTAAGCAGCAGATAAGAAAGAAGAAGGCGTGTTGCCTACCTAATCTAAACCTTACACAAAGACATTACCCCAATCAGTCTCCTCCCTTAAATCAAGGGGAAGGTGATTTACATACCCTTACCCTAAAGATTACAATGAGCCTTACCCTAGAGATTTACCCTAGGGGTCACCTTGGTAGTAGACTCCATATGCAGCATCACTAATGCAACATCACAACACTCCCCATCAAGCTGGATTGAGGAGGTTAATCAAGCCAAGCTTGCCCAGAAAACGATGGAATGGAGCAGAGGCCAGAGCCTTGGTAAAGAGATCTGCTAGTTGATCATGACTTCGCGTGAAGATGGTCCGAATGACTTGAGTTTTCACTTGCGCTCTAACAAAATGACAGTCCACTTCAATGTGTTTCGTTCTTTCATGGAACACAAGGTTAGCAACAATGTGCATGGCTACTTGATTATCACACTTAAGAGACATGGGAGTAGTACTAGTAAACCCTAAGTCTGAAGGAAGCCCTTTAAGCCATATAAGTTCACATGTAGTGGCTGCCATGGCTCGATATTCAACCTCTGCGCTAGAGCGAGCAATGACATGTTGCTTCTTGCTCTTCCAAGTGACAAGATTTCCACCAACAAACGTGCAATAGCCCATGGTAGATTTCCTATCAAGTGCATTCCCTGCCCAATATGCATCAGTGTAGCCACTGATGGCAGCGGAATTGTTGTTATGCATGATGATTCCTTGTCCTATCGAACCCTTGAGATAATGCAAGACTCTCTTAACCATGTTAAGATGATCAACCATAGGAGAATGCATAAATTGGCTTGCTAAGCTCACTGCATATGTGATATCAGGACGTGTGATGGTGAGATATATAAGTTTGCCCACCAATCGTTGATAGTAGCTCACATTATACATGGCTTCTCCATCTATGTTGAGCTTTAGTTTAGAGTCCACGGGAGTGATAGCAGGTTTGCAGTCAAGCATTTTTCCTTCCTGAATATGATCCAATACATATTTTCGTTGATGTAGAAACAATCCCTTTGAAGATCTTGCCATTTTGATGCCCAAAAAATACTTCAACTTTCCCAGGTCTTTGATAGCAAAGGTTTGGCGTAGTGAGAGTTTTAGTGCCTCAATTTCAGCAGCACTATCTCCTGTGATGATGAGATCATCCACATAAATAAGCACCATCAATTTCCACTAGTGCCAGTTCTTACAAACAATAAGGAGTCAGCATTACTTCGTAGGAATCCAGCCTTCTCTAAAACTGAGCTAAGTTTGGCATACCAAGTTTTTGGGATTGTTTCAATCCATAGATTACCTTGTGTAGAACCATCATAACCTGAGGAGGCTGCATGTACACTTCTTCTTGTAACTCTCCGTAAAGGAAAGAATTCTTCACATCCATTTGATACAGAGTCCACCCACAAGTGATTGCAACTGAAAGTAGAACCCTCATTGAATTCATCTTAGCCACAAGTGCAAATGTTTCCTTGTAATCTACCTCAAAGGTTTGAGTGAACCCTCAAGCAACAAGCCTGGCCTTGTGTCTCTCGATAGAACCATTAGCTTTGAATTTAATCTTGTAAATCCAACGACTTCCAACAGCCTTTTTTCCTGGTGGTAGTTGAACCAAGCTCCAAGTTTTATTTTCTTCTAGAGCATGAAACTCATCTGCCATGGCTTGATTCCATTGTGGGAGGAGAGATGCCTCTTGAAAGCTTATAGATTCACTGTGTTTATCAATTTCACAAAGAAATGCAGTATGAGATGTTGAGAACTCACCAAGGCTGATACTTTCACTAATAGGATATTGTGAGGCATAAGTAACATAGTCTTGCAGCCTAGTTGGAGGTTTTTTAGTTCAAGGATGATTTCTTCTAAGCCATTGAGACTCTGTAGGAGATTGTGAATGATCAAAACAAGATTCCTCGTCTCCCTCATTGGCAGGGATACGATGATCAGAGATTGAGTCAGGTTGTATTTCTTCAATATCTGGTGTCACAGTAACTGAGCTTTCTTCAAACACTGGATTATTAATGACCGGAGGAAGTGGAAACATTTCAAACAGTTCCTCCGCCTGACCTACAATATTCCCTTTATGAGTAAAATAAGGGCAACCTTCTTCAAATTTCACATCCATTGACACAACACACTTCTTAGTGGCTGGATTATAGCTCCTTTTATCCCTTTTGGGTGGAAGAATACCCCACAAATACACACTTGGTTGCCCTGGCATCTAATTTGTCACCGTTCAAGGCTTGAATGTGAACAAAGCAAACACATCCAAATACCTTAAGGTGTGTCAAATCAATTTTTCTACCCTTGAGTACTTCATAGGGAGATTTAAATTGTAGTACATGACTTGGGAGTCGGTTAATGAGGTAAGTGGCAGTGAGGATGGCTAATGCCCAAAATTTCTTTGGAACATGTATATGAAGTATAAGAGCACGAGTCTTTTCCAAGAGATCTTTATTTTTTCTCTTGGCTACTCCATTTTGTTAGGGAGCCCCTACACATATGGTTTGATGTATTTTTCCTTGAGAACTTATGTATTGAAGCATGTTGTTGGATAGAAATTCAATGCCATTATCTGATCTCAACACCTTAATGTTTGATTGAAATTGTATTTTAACATGCATATGAAAATCTTTGAAAATAGTTTGGACTTCACTTTTTGGTTTCATAAGATACACAAAACTCATTCAAGAGAAGTCATCAACAAATAAGACAAAGTACCTAAACCCTTCTATTGATTAAATTGCTAGTCCCCATACATCGGTGTGCACCATTTCAAAATATTTACTTGTCCTAGGCATTGAGTTACCAAAAGGTAGTCTAGTAAACTTAGAAAATTGACAAGTATCACAAGTAAAATGTGATTCACAGAAATTTGGAAACAGTTTAGACAAGATAACTTCAGAGGGGTGAGCTAATCTCTTATGCCAAAGTTGGTTTTCATCTATGGACTTCAATTGAGCTTGAAAAGCCTGAGTAAAACATGCGTTCTTGCACAGGTAGTAAAGTTCATTTATGAAGACCCATTCACCAATCATCTTCATGGTGAGAACATCTTGAAACATCACGTTATTTGGTGAGAAAATGGCACGGCAGTTTAGGGTGTTTGTGATCTTTCCAATTGACAAAAGTTGGAAAGGAAAGGTTGGGACATATAAGGCAGTGGAAGGTGTTTTGTGTGAGAGTAAGTTTATTTCTCCTTTTCCCAAAACTAAACAGTTTTTCCATTTGCAACAAACATATGTGAGAGATTTGAAAAACGTTTAAAATGATGCAAATTTGTGATTTTGTTTGTCATATGATATGTGGCTCCTGAATCAATTATCCAATAATCATTTTCAATACTAGTTAATAAAGTAGTAGTGAATGCTTTGAGTATACCTAGTGCTTCATCCCGTGAAACTTTCTCATTTCCAACAAGAAAGCCAGCAAACTGTCCTAACATGGCTGCATGATTGTTCTCTTCATTTCCTTGAGCTTGCGAACCTCCTCCGTGTCCCTTGCTTTGAAGATAAGCTGCAAACTCATTGATAAGAGATAATGAATTGGCAGCGAACTCTATGGATCCTTGTGAGACAATAGAGGGATGAGCATTAGCAAGTTGGGCCTTGTACTAAGGTTGAAATTGCTGTGAGGACCTTGGTATCATTTTTCCATCTTTGCTATACTTAGGCTTGAGTTCAAGATGAAGTTCCCAACACTTGTTTTCCACATGACCAACACCATTGCAATATTTGCATTTCAGGTGTGAATTTCTACCCTTGTACACCTTAGCCTTTGAGATCTTGTAATTTGAGGCATATGCCTGAGTCTCAGTCAATCTCGAGTTGTGCTCAACATTCATCACTTTCTTCCTTGCTTCTTCTCATTGGATAGTTGCATAGACATTCTTGAAGGTGGGAATCTTTGACTCATCAAGACGTGACTCCTTAGATCCTTATACTCGAAGTTCAAACTCCCCAACAGCTGGTAGATTTTGTCTTCCTCAGCTCGTTTCAAGAGAATGGCAAGATCTGTGGTATGTGGAAGGTATACATCCAGCGCATTCCACATAGCCTTGAGGCGTCCAAGGTGTTGAACAAATGTTTTCCCTTCTTGTTGGGCACTGGCAATGTCATTCTTAAGTTGAAAGACATGTGCTTAGTTGTTTTGATTTCCATACATATCCTGCAAGGCTTTCCAAAGCTCACATGAAGAATTGTAGTAGCTAAAAATCTCAACAACATGTTTCTCCATGGTGTTGAGCAGCAAGGGCATGACAAGTTAATCCTTGCAAAGCCATGCACCATATGTAGAGGAAGAGATGTCTAGAGCTTCCACACTTCCATTTACAAACCCTAATTTCCCTTTGCTTCCGAGAGCAAGAGACACAGCTCAAGACCAAGGAAGATAATTAAACTCGTTCAAGAGAACTGAACACAAACGTTGATTGGTGTTAACCTCGATGTCTGAGAAATTTGAAGGAGAGGTATGTGAGATGTCACCCTCTATGTTTACTGAATCTTCTTTAACCATGGCTTAAGATTGAAGGAAAATGCACCGGAAAAAATTGGCCAAAGGCAGGTTACAAAACCTGCTCTGATACCATGTAGAGTTTCTAGTTTAAAGTTTCAATGTATATTTCATGTATATTTGTACAATAGTGAGTTCGGGTATATATGAGAAGAGAGAAGGAAAAGAGATGGGAAGGATGGCTGCAGCAAGCAGCCAACAAGAAAGAAGAATGCGTGTTGCCTACCTAATCTAAATCTTACACAAAGACATTACCCCAATTAGTCTCATTTCTTAAATCAAGGGTTTACATACCCTTACCCTAAATATTACAATGAGTCATACCCTAGAGATTTACCCTAGAGGTCACCTTGGTAGTAGACTCCATATGCAGCATCAGTAGATGCAACATCAGTCATATTCAGCATCAGTAGATGCAGCATCACAACAGATGACAAAATTTTAAATTAAATTTACAAATCAAATTATGTGTTACCAATAAAAGATAAGCACGTAAACCGGCACTTAGTTAAATAGCTTACCCTAATAAAAACTTAACGAAAAACAATAGAATTTTATTAAGGAAAATAAAGGAAGTGACATCGTCGTAAATAAACTGAAGTCCGTAAAGAAAAAACGATGACATTTTTTAAAAGAAGTTGAACTTTCATGGCACTGTGTCTGTTTTTATCATAAAACAAAAAACCCATCAATGTATTAGATGTTATGTGCGGAATCCAACGGCCTTCAAATCACCACGTACCCGCAAGTAGCTAACCTTATCCCTTGTCCGCAAACCAACAACTTGTAATCCCTTCGTGGCCCTTCAAATCTCCGCCATGGTAAATGCTTTTTGCTGTTTCTAAACCAGAGCTTCAATTACCAATCCCATGGCTGCAATTGCAGCAGGGCTATCTTCATGGTCATCATCCAAGCCCTCCCTGATTCCTTCCCAGCACCAAATATCATCACCATCATCATCTAATAAGGTATCACCAACTCTCTCTCTCTCTCTCTCTTGTGTAGGTACATAATATCTGTTCACTTGATTCACAAAGAAAAAGAATAACTGCGGCAGATTATCTAGTTTTTTCTTGAATTGTTTGAGGTTCTTATCACTGAAGAATGACAGTAAATGTTTTATTTTTATGTGCCCCCAACCCCTAATCACTGAAAAATATTAGTAAAAATGAAATAAACAGAGAATAAAATAGGAAATGGGAAACTTGCGTTTGTATTTCAAAAATATGGAAATTGCAGCTTGTTTTTGTGTAATTTAACTTAATTATAATAGATTTGTCACTCGCACCTAAGTTTGAATCTTTTTCTGCAATTTATACTGAATTAGACTATCGCTCGAATAAAAGAAATCTTTTGCTTGTAAAGTTTTTATCTTTAAAATTTCCCTTGCAGGTTGACGCTAAGCCTTGGAGCCTCTCCATCACCAGCAGTTTAAAAGAAGATATAAAAATCCAGTACCCAATCTCCACAACAAAACAATGCCCAAATACTCAGAAACACTTGAATGCCACCCTGAGAAGCCCAAGAGGCTTTGGACCCTCCCCAAGGAAAAAGAAAAAGATCACCGAGAAGCCGAAGAAGACCCGAAACAATGACAGCGACGATGACGACGACGACGACGACGATGAAGATGAAGATGAGGAGGAAGGAGAGGAAGGAGTGATACCGGAGATCGTGACCAACAGGATGATTGGAAGGATGGGATTCACAGTTGGGCTTCCATTATTTTTGGGCCTCTTGTTTTTCCCTTTCTTTTACTATTTGAAAGTTGGCCTGAAAATTGATGTGCCCACGTGGGTGCCCTTCATTGTGTCATTTGTCTTCTTTGGGACAGCCCTATTGGGGGTCAGCTATGGGATTGTGTCCTCCAGCTGGGATCCTATGAGGGAAGGCTCCCTCTTGGGTTGGACTGAAGCTCAGAAAAATTGGCCTGTCTTTTGGCAGTCCCTTCGTGGTGGTGGATCGAAAAAGGACTAAGCACCACAAGTACGAGTTACAACTTACAACTAAATTTACAGTCATCGTTGTAGCATCGTCTTCTTACTCGTACAGTCAATTTTGAAATATTTTTAATCTTTTCTTATTACAAACTATTGTTTCTTTTGGCCCTTGCTTCATAAGATTAAGAGATCTACAGGGACGGAGTTGGGATTTCGTACGGGATTGAAAAAAAAAAATTGTTGGAATTAACAAAACATGTTAGATCAATTGAACATAAATGAATGTGATTACATGTTCACAAACAAAACTCGAGACAAAAATATGCTAATATACACATTTTTGGTGTCACAAATGAGAGAAATTTTCTTGAAACTAATATATTGTTTCACTGGCACCTCATATGACATAGATAATTGTCATGTATTCAAATAATACATCATTCGTCTTGTTTGGTAGTTGTCTGGTGTGGTCAGAGATTGCATGAGAAAATCTCTCGTCTCAAAGACATCTGACATCTAATGTATTAACATCATATTTATCTACATACCCCATATTTTTTTAGGATTATATATTTTTTTTCAAATTAAAAAAGATTAGGCGAGATTAACTTTTCGGCAACAGTCGCATGCGAGGACACCTACCCTCCCTCAAAGTGGAGAGGACCATTACACCTGTAAATCCCCCGTCCGTTCCTCTCCCACCATATTTATTGACTAATGAAACTAAATAGATAAAATACAAACGGGAAACTATACCAAGACCCGCTAAGAAAAAAGGATCAACGAAACGATCCAAGCATATTGGAGAGTGATGATATATACATTGGAGTAAGTAATGTTCAAATTCAAAAGAAATGTAGAGTTAATCAATGTAATCAAACATTGGAAATAGGAAAAGGGTTGGGGATTGCGATAGAGATCTACTTTGGGGAGGATCGCTGAATGGCTTTATAATCCCCTTTTCCAAGTACATTATTATTAACTTGAAAGCAGAACATTCCTAACGTTAAAGGTGGTCTTGTCCACGACCATGCTTCTCATGTCTCTCATCATATACTTTTCTCCTTATTGTTTTTTCTCCCTTTGTTTTCTTTAATTTTTTGACACAAAGAGAGAGAGCGGGGTTTTGAAAAACTCATTAACCTACTTACCACGTCAACTGTATGTATTAGACAACTAATTAGTTCCTTGTCGAATCTGAATTATCGAATTTACTTGGTCAACTTGTTTTTTAATTTGAATGAATTATGTGGAATTGATTTCACTGCTAATAATACCAAGAATCTTTGTTCAAGAGAAAAGCGGTATGGTGGAGAAACTAGCTAGGAAGTCAAGAATGGTTGCCTCGTTTGTATGATTTGATGAATTTTTTTGTAGTTGTACTATGTAACAAGAGATCTCCCATGATTTGGACAATGATGAGTGGGAAATGTGGCGTGTTTTGCTTTACCCTTTTTAATTTGGTTTTTAGTCATTTCAATTTACATTTGATTAACAAGCAAAACGATATGAAAAATACAAATATAATAATACAGAATCTCATATTATTTGGGCATTTCATTCAAAATGATTCTTGAGATTTAAAATCAATAGAAGTGGTTCTTGAGATTGTCCACCGTCAATCATTTTAGTTCTTCGTGAAAACACTCATTAAATTGAGTGTATTTCTGTTAAATCAACCCCTTCCCTTGAATTGGTGGTTTCTTCAATTTAAATGAGAGTTTTTACTAACGGATCAAAATGATTGACAGTGGACAATCTCAAGGACCACTCCTATCAGATTAAATCTCAGATACCAAAGTAAGGAATTATGACAATTTTAGAGACCATTTTGACTATAAAAAAAAACCTTATTTATTAAGTGAAAAAAAAATCATTTACTAATATTAGTTGCACGGTATTAAATTTGCACACATTCAGCGCCCCGATAATTAACTCACGATGATCATTTGTACATTTCATGAAGATTAAGGAATACTACCATGAAACAAATGGAATATCATCATATGTGACAAAATAGCTCTCTTTTGCTCCCACACAGAGAGTAGACAAAGAGTTGTGACAAAATAACAAAGTTGTAATTAAAGTTTGAGACATAGTTTTGAATTTGCTTCCCAGACGACCAAGCCACAGACTCACAGTACAAGTACAAGAAGGATGGACAAGATGAGGCCAGAGAGGAATGGCTAGCTCAGCTGTGTGGTCCGTCAGTGGACCTTGACTATGCTTTTCTTTCTCAACAAGATCTTGGAAGGAGGCAACCTCTTTCTCTTTACTTACTAACTAAAAAGCTTTGATCTCTAAATCATGACACATGGGCATGTAATGCAATACAAAAACTCATAATTTATATAGAGTAACTTATATGCACATATATACTATCACGTGACGTCTTATGCCAATAAAATAAGGATATGTAGGCAATAACTTATATGACACAGATATATACTGTCACATTCCTTATTTATTGATACAGAATGTTAGTGTGACGGTCTATTCGTGCTCTGTAAGTTCATCGCTATCTAGAGAGAGAGAGAGAGAGAGAGAGAGAGAGAGAGAGAGAGTTGGGTTTTGATTGTCCCTATGTATGTTCCAAGTAAGCATTCTTTGCTTAAAGAGAGGTTAGCCCCAGGAATAAAGCAACCGAGTGACAATATACAGCATGCAGAAGCTGGTTAAAGTTAAAGCATATGGCTTCCTTGGCCATATTGCCAAAGCACCAAATATATAGAAACCCTAAAACCAAAGGAACCCAAGACCAACATCCATGAATGCCAGCTGACAACCGACAACAGCCAGTAATATATTATCTCTCTCTTCTCAGGGGAAAACTTACTCTCTTCCCAATACCGATTAGTCACCGGTCCCAGCCGGTTTACAGTGCTTCATTGTCTCATGTCCGTACTATTTTCCCTCTGGCTGAAACGCAGCAGCTGCAGCATGAAAATGTATATACAATGCCGTTTCAGTCAGACCCAGAGAAAAATAAAATAGAGAAAACTCAGTGATTAGGAAATTTTAAGAAGAAGATCGTTTGAATGAGACAAATACGTGACAGAATCTTTGGTTGGTTGGTTGGTTTATTTGACAAGATTGTAAGATCTTCCAACATTCCAATTTGGATATGTTCGTAACCAAACAGACCACAGTGCTGAATGATCCCTTTCACTCAGCGGCGCATCTCACTGATAACTTACTCACTCGTGCATTCTGATTGGACCATACTGTCTCTCTACGGATTATTTTGTGCTCGTGACCTCAGCTAGCTTCGAATTATAATTCTCTACTTGCTTCTTCATCGTCGTGGTCCTTGTAAAGAGATTCGATAAAACTCAAATGTAAGTGAGGTTATGAGTTTCTACTCTATGGAACGTGTACAAAACTCCCACTCGAGCTGGGGATATGAAGCGATTACAAGACAATACATGAATACAAAAGATAAATACACAATGATCTTGTGGATTAGGTAGGAGCCTTGATTTACACTGACAGAAGAATAAGCCTTTATTTACACTGATGAAGTCTAACGGGTAAGAAGAGTCTAATTTTCATAGTTAACTATCCTCGGATTTGATATCTATGATTCAAATTAAAACACTACAAATACTTTCATATAGCCTCTCTACCTTTGATATCAAATTCAATGGTGAGTGATCATGCAATCCTTGATTATAGGGTGACCAAGAGAACATTTCTTAGGACAAGAACGCCAAGGAAATTAGACACCATGTTGGTGAATGGTTGGGAGGACAAACCCTTTGTGTATATATCGGGTAACTGATGTTTAGTAGGAACATATGCAACCATTAAAATATGTTGAACAACCTTATCTCTAACATAACGGAAATCATTTGAACATGTTATTTGCGAAAATCGAAGACGATATTTGAAGAAATGAAATAGCACTTTGTTTTTAAAGGAAAAAAACAAGGGGAAAAAACCCAGATATGCTAAGACCATCTCCAACCAGAGGATGGCCCTTTGGTCCTCAAAAAAATTAATATTTTAATGAACAGTGCAGAACCATATTTCTTACCGTCTCCAACCGAGAGCCAGGCCAAGCATAGCTCTGTCACAAAAAACCATCTCCAACCGAGGGCAAAACATAATTTATTATTTTAATTAAATTACTATGGTTACTTAAATTAAATTACCTCAATAATTTTATGTTATGGATTGTCAATAATTTTCATGTTGTTAAATTTTTTTTATGTTGTTTAATGTTACTTAATGTTGTTTAATATTGTGTAATGTTGTTTCATGTTACTTAATGTAAAAAAAAAATCAAAAACAAAATGTTAAACAAAAAAAATCAAATATAACGTCAACATATGGCCCAACCCAGGGCCGGCTGGCTGGCTCATTTGGGCCAGCTAGTTGGCCATTTGGGCCTTTTTTTATCTAGTGGGGCCCACGAGTCATTTGGCCTGATTTTAGATTAGAGATGATTTTCGGGCTATTTTCAGCCCTTTGAACCTTCAGTTGAAGATGATCTAACTAACTCAAAGTATCAAAACAAACATATCTCATTTTTTTTGGTTTACCAAAAAAAAACAAACATATCTCGTTTTATAAATACCAAGCACTTTATTCATAAGAGTAAACGCAATCCAAGCAGAGGATCATGGAAAACAAGGCTGCCCAAATCAATATTGAAACTCCACTTCGCCATCTAATCAGCAACATATTTTCGCACCTTGAAAATACGATTCAATGACATCTGACCGAACTATCCATCATCATCCTACATCTGGTCACAATTGTATAAAGAGGACGAAATTTATCAGATAAATTTTGCTTGAGCAAAATAATAGTAGATAGAGAGTCTATTTCAATGATGAGACTAGTTACACCTTTTGCAATCACAAGCTATTTGGTGAGCCACCACTTTCAACCATACTAGCTATTTTAGCTTAAATTAAACTATTTTAATATCATTTTTCCCTAAACTTAACAATCCAAGTCCTTTTTCTTCTCTTGAAGTCCACAAAGAATGTAATTTTATAATTTCTAATAGTTAGCTAAAATTAACTTTCTTTATCGTCTTAGCTAAATCTAGCTAGTTACTGTTCATAGAGTTAAGTTAGCTAGTCATTTAGCAAGCCAGTTGGAGCTTAATTTTTTCTACATTTTTTTTAAAGTAGCAAATAAATCTCATTTAGCC